AGCTCTAGAGCTAGTGTGAAAGAGTTCGTCCAGGGTAGTGCTGCCACCTTACCCGTTTCCGCCACCAAGCAGTATTGTGAACTTTACTGCGTTCCTGTTTGAAAAGGTACGGGTGCTGGTAAAATTACAGGCACATGGGACTCGCCAACTTATGTCTCAGGATGACGGGCGCAGTGGCAGTGCCCCTAAGAAGTTATGGATATACGTGTCGCTTAGCACCAGAAGCACGACTTGTTCGTCCCGTCACTGAGTAATATAAAAAAATTAAAGAGCAGAATATAAAAAAATTGCAATGGCAGTTGAACAGTAGCTCGATCGTTAGCCACTACTCTAAACTTTAAGCAGAGTTATACTAAACGTAGAAAATCTTGTCATAAGCACTTATCGACACATAAATGAAATTATTTAAAATTAGTAGACTTGGGTTCCAGTCTACAGTCCGTCATTACTCATTACGTCATGGGTATACCAAATCGTAATCAAGGACAGCCGAGTTCGAATTAGCATCAATGATTATGACATCGAAGGCAAATTGGACCCAATTGCCAAAATGAATCAGTGTGGGTAATATGGGTTCGGGACATAAATTGATTTTCCATTCTACCGTGGTACAGTTAGCGTCAAAATGATCGCTGCCTTCTTAAGGTAACCTACGAAACTAAATGTGCTTTGAATGAAACGGAAATTCTTTTAGGACAAAGTACTAATATTATTATCGTTGAATATCAGAATCCGTTGCACCGGTTAGTGTTAGAGACGCCTTAATTGCAATATTATTTTGCAACAGGGTTCTGTATTTCTACTCCTCTGTGAAGCTCCTTGCTTGAAAATTGAAACCTCCCCGGAGAATTGCCGTAATTTAATTTTTACGATGCCGTATTGTTAGAGCTTCCTTCAAGCGCTGTTTGTAGTTAAAACTCAAACCGCAGTCGTCTTGTTATAATGCTTCTGTTCTTATTACGGGCGGGTAACTTGAAGATCGTCAGCTGGAAAGGATGTTTTTACTATTACGCTAAATTTATTACTCAGAAACCATCAATATTCTTTATTTGATTTGTTTTTATTTTTGACACAAAATGAATAGAACAAGAGCTCTCGCTCAAATAAGTAAATCTAACTAAGTGCCCCACAATGAATTCCATTGCTCTGGTACTCATAGTACAGGGAATTCCCTAGTTTGGGACCAGGTAATAGGTATGTGGCACTTTATTATGGATATTTATTTTAGATTCTCGCCTCTCCCAAGGACTAAAAGAATTAATTTTAAACTTTTATTTTATAATGTCACGTGGCAGGACAAACAAGTCGTGCGCCTGGCGGTAAGCGACACGTCTGCCCATAACAGTTGCAGTGCCACTAAGAGCTTTAAATCCCAAAGATCTGAGCGGCACTACCACTGCGCCGTCACCCTGAGATACAATTTCCATGTGTGTGTAATTTCACCAGCATTTCAAAACCCGAAACACAGTAACGCCAACATTATTACTTGTGTTAGCAAATTCTCAAGTAAAGACTTGGGTAAGTAAGGTAACACCTAAGGCACGAAAGAAAACAGCTTAATACAATTCACTTTCAATTATTTATTTCCTTTTAAGCAAGTAATATACATGATAGTTCGTTACTAAATTACATAATAAAAAGACGACAGTTAGTACATACCTGTATAAATTAACAACCTTTACATACGGCACCCACATTATTCACAATATTACCTCTGTCTAGGAAATTCGAACACAGACTGCATAAATCTTCTTTTGTGACCATACCATCAAGCTTCGCCCCACCACCGTTTTGGTAGGTTAACAGACTGCGATTTCATTGGTTAAAGCTCTTGGTAGACCGATGCTTGATTGATTGGCATTTCTTTTAGAAAGGGATTTAGATACTTTTAAATATTATTGCTAAACTGATATACAGAAATGATATCAGGCAGGCATTAATTTAGACGTACTTAAAAAATATATATAATTAATATGAAAAACCTTTCAATTATAATAATAAGTTCGAATCGATTACGTTTAAGGTATGACAATAATCGATACAAGTTCTAATTTGTATTCGTTACGCTAACACTTGGCAGCAGAAATAGTTACGGTGGCAATACTTCCCTGGACGAACTCTTTCACAAGGAGCTCTACTGCTACTAAAATTTATTTATTAGAATTTCTAAATGGGAGAGGCGGTATTCCACGGCAATGGCACCAACGGCCGGTGTCAAGGACTCAAGTTCAAGAACCGGCGTACAATACGTGCTGTATCGAGCAAAAACGTCTTCTGCATTTGTGCTGGAAGCGACACGAAATTATTATTATTATTTTCTTTCAATTTGGAATTTCAACACAACAACAAGAAATTCAAATTTGGAATTCCTTGGTACACCTTAGTGAGTGATGATAGAGGTAATGCGACCTGAACTGGCAACACACTACCTAACTATTGCATGCTAAGGTGACAGCGACGATACCGGCTTGATTATTACAGCTTAATGTCATTTACATAATTTTTTTTTATTATATTAAGTGACGGCACGAGTGATCGTGAGAGAGAGAGAGAATGAGGGTCGTGCGCCTGGCGGTAAGCGACACGCCTGTCCATAGCAGTTCCAAGTGCCATTCAAAGCTTTAAATTGCAAATACCTGAGGGGATCTGCAATTGCTTACTGCTTACGTCACACTTAGACGTAAGCAGACCAGTGTCCATGTAGTTTCACCAGCACCCTTAACCATCAAAACCAAGGAAGTAATTCCACCTTACAGAAGTGGGTAAGGTGGCATTACTTCCTTGGGCGAACTCTTCCACAAGGAACTCTACTGCGACACACCATAATTAACTTTTGTGGAATAAAGCATACACTTTATTTAACCAATTAATTTAAGTAGATATTTATTCTAGTACGTCCTTCTTGTTACAACTTGATTTGCTCACACGTCAATGAGCAATTTAGTATTTGGATTTAAAACGATTTTTCTAAACGACTCGCATTAGCGCGTATGGCATAAGTTTTCACGTAAGAACTGTAAATTGCCTGATTTAAGGGCTAGACTTCGGGTCCAATGTAACCAATGACAACGACCAGTTAGGCACAGTTAGCGTCAATATAATATATAACATTTGTTGCTTAATATGGAACGAGCTGTTCAATTGATTTTAGGCGACTTTATTGTCCTCTTTTACAAAATTCACAATGGTATACAAACACAAATGCAAAAATGAATAATTATCATATGACGTAGTCTTAATGAAAGTGTAACGTTCTATAGGGCATTTAAAAAGTAAAAATATTTTATTCCGTAGAGGTTAGAAATACTACTTTAGTCCGCCTACGCGTGTCACATAGCTTTACAAAAGGTGGGAAGTGGAAATGAAACTTATGGTTGAGCTTCATACAAAAGCATTAGTTTGTTTTTACTTGAGGTTTTGCACCACCCTTACATTGACTTGAATGCTATACTAAAGTCGCTTGTGATTACTTCCTTTATACCTATACTTAGGGACGTATAGCAAATACCTAATCAGGTACAATTTTGTTTACATAACACAACAGTGAAAGGATGAGAGTGACAAGGCTTCGCAAATTGCGAGCTAAGACTAAACAAAGACATGTTAATTAGAAACAGCAAAAAAGTCGCAGCGGCCCTGTACCGGGACTAGGAGGACAAATTAGAGAGAATGGAATATAGTTTACTTTAAGTTAAACTTATTACGGTCCTCGAGAAACAAGCACTCGGAGGCTCGAGCGGCGCGCGGGTCAAGTGCCCAATTTGTCACCCGCGCAAACTTCCGACTACTTCGACCCGGCCCTGTTCGATTCCATTAAACTTTCAAGACTTTTTGAAGCTATTTTCTTGTTTGAATCACGATTTGCCTAATTCCCTCTCATGCCTACCTACCCTTTACATTGCGAATGATATTGCGGAGTGTCGGATGTTTCCAATATTCAATTCATATGAAATCACTCTTTGGGCACGATAATTAAAATTTTCTTTAATGGCGTCACCGACAGGTTATTAGCGAAAAACAAATCAAAATCTAAGTTTTCCGGGACACTTACAATGCGGTATCATAAAAATTAAATTAGGGGAAGAGTTTCTGTGTAAGTGCGCGCCATTTCTGGGGGGCAGACCGCGGCACGAGGGGGACGTAGGGCATGCCACATCAAAGCGCTTTATCCTGCGCCGGGCTCTCGTCTAAATCTAATTTAGCAGCTTTCTTCTTTCGTTACGACCACGCCTGCGAAACGCGGCTGAATTTTCGCCCCGCGTAGTTCACCTGTCTATAAAAAGCGACGGGAGCATGAAGACCCCAAGATCACAAAAAAAGCGCGAACACGAAACTTAATGAAAACAAAGCGAAGTGTAAACAAAAAACGTCAAAGAGGGAGGCCAAAAGAATTAAAGTCTGACTTCTTTATGTACACGAGCCTCGGGCATAGCAAGATCAAGTGGCTAATTTGTCAGCGAGTAAACTTGGTGCTGCCGTGGACTTTGGCGGACGGTGCAATTCGATTAAACTTCTGCCGAAGTACCTACACAGGAGCGGCCTACTTAACGCAGCGCGGCTGTACATTTACAACGGAAATTTAATTAGCCAACTCATGAGGAGTGTGGGCTGCCTCCTTGGCCGTACGTGGTACCGTGCGTGCGTTGAATTGTCAGTACTTTATGTTTTTATCACTGATTCCCATGATTTGATGAATTCAACGCGAAACACAGTAGTATCATTTGACTGCTTTATCGCGGATTCTATATCTTAACTTTGATTGAGGGAAACTTCATTCAAGAACTTCGTCGGCAAGTCAAACCAAACGATATTTATTTGGAAAATTTACAACAAACCGCCTTTTAGAAAGTGAACATAATTTTTTCTTGATACATGGATTTCTGGTGCTACTTTTGAATGTTCTAAATCCTCAACTATTCTGTTAGATTTGGAAGTCATATGCCCTGGTTAGTATTATGACAAAGGTCATAATATACACGTTTTATCTGACAATCATGTAGGCTTAGAGGTAGCCTATAAAGTTAAGTTACATACTCACCTTCAGACAAATAGAGGCGGTCGTTCTCAGCATTCTGGTCGCATGGTACCTGGCGATGGCGCAGAGTGACATGCAGTGAGGGTCCCCGCGGTGGCACTTCGGGCGGCGCAGGTTCCGGTGGGGAGTCGCACTCGCGTTCACATACTTGGCCCCCGTTTCCTGGGGTACCTGGTTAAGCATTCATCAATATAATTATCTCCAGCACAATTTTCAAAGGCCTTTAAGCTACTTCTCAATTCACTGACATATTCTGAACAGTACAAGGTACCTAATGAATAAACAAAAAGGAATATAAAAAATGAAAAAATCTGGTTAAGGCAAGCTGTTGGTTATGAAATCTTTCTCGCTAACAAGTAACAAGGAGAATATGAAATTCTGTGTTTTGGAGTTTTATGAAACTAAATTGGTAACCGCTGTCACTATACAAAAGAACGTCAGTAGTAGCAAGATAGTTTTAACTTTAGTTTTACCGGAAGAGTGTTTTATTTTGTGTTTTTGTTTTGCGTGATTGATTTATTTATTTACTCATTTTGCTTCGCAGATATTTAAAACCGTTTACATTTCGTAAATAATGCACACTCATAGCCCCGCACTAGAGAAACCCTGTATCGCGGGTGACATGGACACACACATAGACAACAACAAATTACATCCAAACTCACGAGAGAAATAAATGTTGGCCCATACAAATATTTCTCCCGGCCCGGGAATCGAACCCGGGACCTCTGCGTGGCAGATCAGCACGGTAACCGTTCAGCCACGGAGACAGTTTTGTAATACATACAGAAAAAACTTAAGAAAAATCTTTGGCGATTCAATAATTTATACTATCTAATCTTTCATTTATCAGAAATTATGTTTATTTATTTATTTATAAGTGTTTTACATGTGTTGTCGTTACATAAATATCTTATACACTAACAAACACATGCACCTTAACAAGCATCGCAACATGGAAGGGTTAGAGGCAGACCTTAATTATTATAATTTATCCTAGAAATACCCGTTCACATAGTAATAACTCTTAGAAATGAATATTTTTTTAATATTTTTAGGAATTTATTAATGTTTGGTTCTGTTTTTAAATATTCTAGTAGTTTATTATAAATATTTATTGACATGGAACGAGGTCCGGAATTGAATTGCTTCCGCGGTGGAACGGTTACCATGCCGGTCTACCACGCAGAGGCCCCGGGTTCGATTCCCGCACCGGGAGAATAATGTTTGTTTCTCATATGTTGAGTGTGTGCGTTATTATATTGTTATTATTATATTACATTCATTTATTTCTCTCATGAGTTTGGGTGTAATTTGTGGTTGTCTGTGTGTGCATCCATGGCACCCGCGATACGGGGTTTCCCCAGTGCGGGGCTGTAAGTGTGTGCGTTATTATTAATTAATTTACAATGGTAAAAAAGAATTCCTAGGTAAGTGATGTTAACAGCCCAAAGATGAAGTTACCGCATCCATAAACGTGTAAAGGTGTATTTGAGCAACCTGAATTTTATGTAGCTAGGTTATTTTTGTAACGTACACGTGAAAACAAAATGGACTGAAATAAACAAGATGTTTATCGAGTTCTTAGGTTTCTGCCCGTTGGAATTGAAACTACAATACATGTTAAAAGGAAACAAGTTATACGATAACCTTAAACAAACACTTTTTTTATTGGAAATGAAATATTTTTTTCGGATTTATAATCGGCTATATTTTTTTTTTAAACATACAACCGTTTCAGGCTCTTTACATGTCCCATAAAAAGTGCCAAATAATCGGTAATATCGCACAAGAAATAAAATACTATTGTAACTCAAAGTTAAAATGAAATAAAAAATATTGAATGAGCAAATATACGTAATATATTCTCGTTTATAAATGAATAATTAAATATTATACATAAATGAAAATAATCACAATATTCGCAATAAGTTAAAAATGTATAAACCTTTAGTGCAAAGTTTTTGTTTCACAATAGTTTTAAACCTCGTAAATGGTAAATTTTGAATATCAACCGGAATCTTATTATAGAATCCTATACGTTTCCCCTTAAGTGAATTTGTCACTTTGTAAAGACAACTGTCAAGAACAACCAGTTAAGTTTTATTCCTCTTATTAATATTAACATCACTGTTTTTTTTATTAAAAACATACTATTATTCTTAACACAGCTTAAATTTTCATCAATGTAAAAAATGTTAATTTCTTTAAAATTCTCCCTCAATTGCTGTTGAATGCGTAATATGGCCCACAGATATAAATCGCCAGTTAGAGGGTACAGTATCTTAGGGAACAGCGTGTAGTAACTGCAGAAGGAGAGTGACATGGTTACATCGTATTATGTTAGAAGACATGTCTTAAGTCATGAGTATAATTTTCCGACATTTAGGCACTTCAGACGCGTACGTTAGCGTTAGAGAAACTATGCGAAGCATCCTTATCAAAGGCATGCAGCACCTTCACGTCGCGATGTAATAGGTAGGCACCTACAGAATGTCTTAGTACAATATCTAAACAGGAATGCGACATTTCAGTACATATACAATTCCTTGTTCATTCCTCCGATATTGATTTAAAGCTTCACTGGATATGATGTAATACGAACAAAATGCTACGTGTATACAAGGACATATGTTTATACGAGCACATATATACACACTATCACGCCTGCCTCCCAATGGATAGGCAGACACTTCCACTCGTAACATTGCTGACATATCTCGTTCACTTTCTTCACTCGCATCAGTCTTTTGCACACAATCTCATATTTTTACGATTCTTTCATTGGAGCTGGCCTTTTCCAAGGCATCCGTAATCTGGTTGAGATATGTATTGAGCTACCAGTCAACCGATCGCTCATTTGAGTATATTTAAGTCCGAATTAAAATAACACAACGAACATTTTTTTTAAATGTGGTTAGTATACAGGGTACAATAAAAAAGTGCGGTGAAAATCAAAGAATGTAATATGCATCTTACAGAAATCCAATATGCAAAATAGCAGAACTGTGTAGAAATTTTAAATTTCGTTTTAAAATAGGATAATGTAGTGTCGATCTTAACATCGACTCTAATTAATTAATTAAATTAAATTAATTAATAACATAATTTTCATTTCATTTATCGTAACGTAATAGGTACATGGATTTTATGTTATTTATTTAGTTAGAATACTTCTACTACTGAGTACGTCTAACAGTAGCGTTCTTTACGGTGGTAAACATCGAAAACAAATATTTGATTTCATAGAATCACTGTAAGACACAGATCGGATCCAAACATATTCTCAAAATCGACATCTAACGTCATGAACTACGAAAGGTGTTAGTTTCAATGATTTTGGATCGTTATTTTCATTGCAAATTTTTTCGTACATCTTATTTAAATTGGAAAAAATTATAAGATTGAATGCAAAAATTTTTATATATTTATTTTTATATACCAGTATCACTTTCATTTTTAACCGACTTCAAAAAAAGAAGAGGTTCTCAATTCGATTGTTTGTTTTTGTTTTTAAGTATGTTACGCGATAACTCCGGCTGTTTATTTTTGATGAGTCTTTTTTTGTTGGAAAGAGGCTATCTCAGAAATGGTCCCATTCAAATTTGAAGAAAATATTCCGTCTCTAAGAGTGGCAAACTAGTGGATGAATGCTTTTGAAGTCGGTTTTTTAGTACTCTGTGCTGAGATTACGTAAAAATAATAAATAAAGATTATAGCAATCATGTTTATTGTAATCGACTGATAACGCCATTGATACAATATCGGTTTACTTTTTTATCATGTAGTTTATAGATTTGTAGCAAAATAATTTGTAACTTATTGTTTAAACACGATCTTAATTTTAAAGTAGTTAGAGTATTTGAAAATTAGTATCGTATTTAAAACATAATATCATCGATTGAACATTAAATTTTCCCGCCATCATCCACTAACTTCCAAGCAAGTGTTTATGTTAGGCTCGAGATTAGTGATGTAGGGACAACTTGGGATTTTTCGAGGCGAATGTGAATAGGCATTATTTAGATATGCATGCTCCATCTTCAACCTCGTCGTCACTTTTCATCAGGCGAGACTGAAGTCAAATGCGCACTTGCTTTTTAATTTAAAAAAAAAACGTTACTATTTGACAGCAAATCTCTACGATCTTGCACCATTCCTTTACATCCTGTACGTAATGGTTTAATAATAAATATGAACAACACAATGAGTCTGTAGTTTAACTGACATTGAAATGAGATACTGTGAAATCTATAATATAATCATTGTTATGAAATTATTTTTCCGATCTCCATCGCGTAGGTATATTTGTTTCAAACCAACGTTTCGATCACAGCCATATATATATAGAATAAAAGGGGAGATTTGGTATGGGGGCGTGGTTCGTGTCGCCTCGATATGATCAAAATTATCATATCGAGGTGACATGCCTACAAACATCGTCACAGTGACATGGCGATCGTTGTACATAGAAAAACTCTCGTAAAACATGAAAATGCCAAGTTGTAACGATCCACCTTGTAAAAATTGGAGTGAAAACAAGCATTTTAAAACCAGTGAGATAACATTCCACCGGCTATTTGCATTTTTAGTTACTATTTCTATTATTATTCAATGTTTTCTTTTTATGTCCATGGAAATTTCTAGACTCAAGTATAGTGATGTTCATTTACCATGTTTATCGACAATAAATTTTTACTGAAATGTTTGAATTTCTTACTATGATTTTTGTAATTAAACTCCCTAAAATATCGAGGCGAAAAGCATTCACGTTAAATTGATTTCTTTTATTTTATTATTATTAATATTACTAAACATTTTAATTCGAGTAACTTTAACACAACTCATATTATTTCGTACAACCGTTTCAATTTCATGTCAATTTATATGTTGCTGTTGCTTGAAGAAAAATGTATGTGTATTATTGTTTTAGATAATTTAGATATTTAAATTCCATTATACTCGTGTATTAAAATTAGAGTATTTTTAGTTTTTAAGTTTTTCCAATGAGTTCAAAATAAAAGAAGGTTGGATAGAAGCTGCTGGAAAATCGAAATATTGGTTTTCTTATTACTATTTCTGACTTTGTTTAAATTTCCATAGCAAATGCATTTAAAAAATAAATAAAACAAAATCGGGTTTATTTTACTTGCGCATGCAAAATAAATTAGAAGCAATTATAGAAAATTACATAGGATTTATGATTAGGATTCATAAAAAAAAAACATAATTTAATTATTAATAGATAGATAGATAGATATACACTTTATTCACTGATATAACACAAATACAAATTAAGCATAAAAGAAAAAACAAAACATGATTGTCATAGCAGTGAAACGGCGCTGACTCAGCATATGCCAAAGTTTCCTAAGGCGCTAGTTTTCAGTCAACGAGATGGATTAAGTTATTTGAAAGCAAAAATATAACGACTACGAGTAAAGTTATACATTGACAATAATAATATACATAGTAAAGTGTAAATAGCGCATCTAAAATAACCTGTTTAACATGTAAGTGCATGAGCAAATGTGAATATAATTACAGCTGTAGGTGTAAGTTATGACTGTAAAGAGGATTTAACGTTGTGTAATGTAATTAGTATTATAATATAATTATACACATAATAAGAATAGATCAAAGCAACAACAAAATTCGATTCTAGGCAAACTACGTTAAAGAATAAGAACACACTACACCGATTTTTGAAGTGAGAGTAGGTGTTGCCGGTACAGTGCTTTGAATTTGGATTTGGATATAATACAAAGACCGAACACTCAGAAAAAATTCCTTCGATCCGGCCGGATTCGAACCGACGTCTTCTAGCACACCGTGCCAGACGCTATACCAACCAAGCCACGGAACGGACCAGCGGACCTCACGAATTTTTCTATGTGCTTGTTGTCGTGTCTTTGTACCTGGTTTTTCAATGACTTTTTAGCCGTAGCGCTATCTATGAAAAATCTATGAAAGTTTTATCACCCAGTTAGATACCTTTACAGCTACCGGCCCTGGCGAGAGATGTCGCTATTCACTGTATTTTAAATTTTTATTGAATTGATATTCAAATTTTTTTTGTCAAATTACTTTCAAAAAATTCTTCCTTCAATCAGGCCGAATTCATAGATGGCGCTACGACTAAAAAGTCGTTTCAATTTACTCTACGTGTTTTACAAATTATTTTATTTTAACGACAAGATATTTTTATTTAATAAAATTTATTATTAATTAACAATGACAATTAAAATAACTTAAAACATACTAATTAGTATTGCAGTCTTATGTCTGCGTGGGATTTTTCATCCGAGGATAAACTGGGGTTACGGAGAAAGTGGTTTCTGAAAATTTTTGAAAATGGGGAATTCAACAGGGAAATTAGCACGACTTTTAAAAGTTTTAATGGTCACTCGCAGCATCCTGGGTATATAACAGACTTCTTTTGCAAGGACCTGGGGTTTGTCGAACTTAATTCAGTGTGTAGCTTTATCCATGACATGCTTGCAGCTGCGCGCAGACTGCAGATCTGATATTTAGATCCGAAAAAACAGTTGCACTTCCTATGTGCAACAATCGCAAAAATATAATAACTCGATATAATATTTTATCGGCAGTTTTTTAATAAGCACTGAGCTGATCAAAAAATAAATAATGCACGTCGTGAACGCAGATAGTTTTTTTTTAAATCTTGACCTGACGCATTAGTGGCACGTTTAGATCCATGTAATATAATCCTTTAAAAATTCAAAATTGTAAAATTTTATATAACGAGTTTGGCAAAGTTTTACAACATTTGGCGATGTACACCGTTATTCTTATAGAGTAAGATGGCAGCACCAGAGAACAGTGTCAAATGCAATATTGTATCAGAGTTTTAGAATCAAAACAGATTTTGTTATTGTGTTATATTTAGCAAGTAATAACAGGAAAAACTTAAGTATTATTTGAAATAGTTGTTAAAGCTGTCTCAAACTTTCCAAGCTTCAAATACGCAAAGACAGGACATGTACAGTACATTGGTGTGAAATTAGGAGACGTAAAAAAGAAGCAAAATCTTACTAAATCAATTGTTTACTAAAAATGTATAAACTGCGCCCTTACCATTGTTAAGGCAGAGGCGCGCATTACGAGCGTTGTTCTCGTGAGTAAAGTCGTCTGCGCGTCTGGTGCGCCGCGACAAAGTACCACCTGACTCGCTGAATATTTCTTCACCTGAATGATTAATAGGATATTAAAAACGTGTAATCAAATATAAAAACAACATTTTTTCCAGATCTTTCGGGAAAATATATTTTTAGTATAGAATATTATTCTTTATTTCAGGTCATTATAGACCCATATAAATTGTTAGTAACATTTTCACTTATAGTTAGCATTATACGTTATAACAACACAAAAGCTATATTTATTTAATATACATAAAAACAGATTTGATTTGCCCAATCCAGTACATTAGGATTGGACAAACAAACGAAAAAAAGCTACTGACACAAGTCATTCGACGGCCTCGGCGGTCGAGTGGCTAGCACACCGGTTTTCATGGTATCGCCACCTCTGAGGTCCTGGGGTCGATCCCCGGCTAGGTCAGTATAGAAAACTAACTTTTCTATATTGTCTCGGGTCTGGGTGTTGGTGGTACCGTCGTTGTTTCCGATTTCCATAACACAAGTGCTTTAGCTACTTACTTTGGGATCAGAGTTACGTATGTGATGCTGTCTAATATTTACTTATTATCTATTTATTAAGTCATAAGCGATACTATTTTTTCGCATTATCGCTTGGATGCCAATCTATATGCGCTTTTGCGAACATGCCTGACGCATTGCACAATCTCAGCAAACCCAACAGCATCCTGAAGTGTTATTGAATTGTATATTATTTACTCCTTTAATACTTTTTAACTTGCTTAATATAAGAATTCGTATATTATTGAATAAGTTCATTTTTTTAAATAATATGAATACAATTTGCAAATACTTCGTGTACTTATCAATGGCGTGTAAAACATTTGCTGAACTACCAAAACAACAAATAATGTGACCCACCTTTGGAGTTTCTATTCCTCTTATGAAATCTCCTATTGGTACTCTCCAAAGGAAACGGCGAGCCTTGGCGATGAGGGCTGCTGATGTAGCGAGGGACCTCCTCTCCACTCTCCGATCCGTATATCCGCCGCTGTTCATCTACATCAATGAGTGAACAAATTAATCTCGAACCTTATACTAAACATACAAGGTCTAAAACCATCGTTAATTCACTATATGCCACTTTTCAGTACTCCATACTTTATTGCATACCATAATTTGAATATAAGGTGGTAGGTAACATAAATTAAGTTCATTACGGACTCTGTACGGACACAGCAAGTGACAAAATTCTGAATAAATTAAACGAATCCTAACCCTATTCTATTTACCTTTAGCCTTATGATTACTTCAGGTGCATATTGCTCGTTGTTTTTTTTATAACATCAAGTGACGGGACGAACAAGTCGTGCACCTGATGGTAAGCTACATGCCTGTCCATGAGAGTTACAGTGCCACTCAGAGCTTTGCAAAGATCTGAAGGGCACTACCCTGAGACATAAGTTGACAAGTCCCATGTGCCTGTAATTTCACCAGCACCCTTACCCTTCTAAACCGAAACACAGTAATGCTGACATTATTGCTTGGCGGCAGAAGTAGGTAAGGTGGCAGTACTACCCTGGACGAACTGTTTGACAAAAAGCTCTACTGCTAGTGTATATTTGTTGAGAAAAAATGTTAAGATCATAATAATCACTTATGTAAATTTTCATTTACAATAATATAATTTATTAAACATATTATCTGCATTATGTATTGAATATTATAATCATGTCTATTATTAATTGAACGTATCCCTATAATCTAAGTATTCATCTAGTGTATATAGTAACTTTTAGCTACTAAATATGTTTTTAACGCTTCCATAAATTTTGTTTCGCTTGTTTCTGTTTTTATTATATTTGGTAATATGTTATAAATTTTCATTGTCGTAGCTAATGGACTTGACGAATGCAATGTTAGTCGCGAGACTGGTAGTATTAATCTGTTTTTGTGTCGAAAGGAATATTTAGTTGGAATGTCTTCGCACTTCGCAAATAAATTGAAATTTGTTCGGACGTTTGTTCAATTAAGTAGATACACGAATTTTGTAAACAATTCCATGGAGTATGAGCAAGAACCAACGTTTTAGGTAGCTAAAATTGAATAAGAAATTGTTCTAATGCCTGTGAACCGCGCTAACCTGTGTAAACAGCAAACTCGCTGCGACTACGACTACGACTGCTACGAATGCTACAACGTAGCTTTATACAAAGTATGCTGATTTGAATTATACGGACGTAGGCATTATCAGCAAACATCGTTCCAAAAGCGCACGAAACCCTAAGTGACCCACTGAGCTAACGAACTGTCGGGTGTATTATTTCAATTATTTCATATATGTGGATAGTAAGTACCTACTTTGTTTAATAAAAGTTGAGGGTGAAAAGTTTGGAATTTATGAGGCGGGCTGTTTGTGTTGGTAATTCTAAACAATAACAAACAAATTGTGTACAGAGCCCTGAGGTCTGCGAGGCCGGGCGGCCGAGTTGTGAGGCCGCAGGCGTCTGCCCGCCCCACTACTTCGCCAAACAGGCTGTACAAACGAAAGCAACTCGCCCAAAACAAAGCTCTGTTTAATATCTCGCTTGTTTCTCTTTGTATAGTGATATTATGTTTAAAAAAAACAACTAAAGGCAATAAACTACTGGTAATCGACACTAGTTGCATTATTTCGAGTTAACAAATTATATTGTTATTTCAAATGTTCATAGACAGAGAAATTGAAATAGGTAGATTTGATATGGTCCTGTTTTTCTTTACGGCATTGTTGTACAATTTCAACATATTGACCCCGATGTCTCATATGTTCCGAAAATATGAGTAATATTGTAAAGTTTTACAACAAATCGTTTCAATCGTAGACAAGTTTCACTTAGATTCGAAACGAAACATGAATAAATTTGAAAGTGCGGAAGCTAGAAGCCCACACGCGCCTAACTGCAGCAAAAGATTTAAATTTTGTTGCCAAAAAGGGAAAAGTTAGCGAAGTAACGTGGTAGAATAAAATATTTATTCTTGAAAATAAAAGCCTGATTCTAAATTTACGACGGCGTAATAAACTTCACGATTCCAGAATGCAATTTGAGCTATAAAACATTCGACAAATTGGAATTTGCGTCGGATCTTCCTCCTAAATCTATCACAAGAGTTTCATATTTTTTCCTGATCTACCGTATGAATCACTTCAATGCCTTAAGTAAAATATTTAGTCATATAAAGTGTTATTTATTAATAATAAATTGTAGTTGACGTCAGAAGTTGTTGAACACTTAGCGCGACCTTAGTTGAACAATGCGACGTACAATGCAGAGTTACTTTTTAATTAAAACGACTTTTTCAACTCGTCTACTTCGTTCTGCTACTTTCAAGAATTCGTAAACGAAATGCCAATTTTCTATTTACAAACCTACATCAGCTTAATCTACTTCTACGGAAAGCCAAAATATTTTGAGTGAATATCCAGTACATGTAAAATAAAATTTGCTCGAAAGAAATGTCATATTAAAAGGTTTTGCGAGTTATTAAAAATTTATACTCTAACTGTGACAGGTGATTCGATGACGTACCAGAATCCAGTTCAATTTTGTTTGTATTATAGAATATTGTCTATACGCCAGGTAAATTGTAAGACACTCTTCGGCTGATGCGACACTGTCACTGTAAACTCAGGGCACAAGTGCAGATAGGTGCCTCGCAGTATTGCCAATAAGGAACGCGGCCTTCACATGCCTACCCACAGCTGCGTAAAATATCTCACTCAATCAAAACTCGGTCGAAATATTCTCGATGCGAAAGAAAATCTTAACGTCTTGATTTAGTATTTACCATAAACTCGACCAACGCCATCTAGCTTCTTTTGAGGGAACTACGATATATCCAGCTGGTTATAGCAGTATATTGCGTTATACAGTTTCGTCTATTAAATGTACAAAAAAGTTTATATGTAAACCTATACTGCCCACCTCATCATAACCAACCTAATCGACGTTTTTAGCGAAATTTAATAACATATCTGGGATTGCGAAACGAGTCATACCATCCACTCTAATTAGTTTTTTTTTTTAAATAAGTTAAATAAGATTTAATTTCAGTTTTATTATTAAAGAAAATTAGTAGTGACAATAAAACTTTAGGTGCCAATATCTCTAAAGTTTTTTTTTTATACAAAGTTACCGGAAAGCAAATGCGTTCGTTATAACAAGGACGGAAGTGTACCTATGTGTTTTTATATTTATATACACATATTTATTTTGTTACATTTATTTTAGGTTCTATGTATTACGGTTAGTTACTTAGTCCTTTCAGAAACTTACATTGCTCTTGTGTAATCAAGTTACGAGAATTAGTTAGTCTTCAGTAACTTCCAGAGGCAACTGTTTATAGCTGGAGGTTATGTAAGAACCAAGCACCTTGTTGTAGTTTACCCGACGATTCTGCAAAACCAATTAGTATTACAATCTCACAACACACTTTAGGTGAAATGGTACAACGTACGCCAAACCTGGCCAACGCTAAAAGCTCCGTAACCGCATATAATTTTGTTATACACAGTAATAACCTTGGGTTAAATGTTGTTTAATCGAATTTCCATCCCATTTGTTTTTAATTGTATACAGAGAAGTATACAAATGTTTACATTACTTGTTAGGTACTTTACGAATACTTACAGGACTTCGTACCTTGATAAATAAGACCACGTTAAATACATACTACCTTTTTTCCACTGCTATAACTGTATTCGCCGCCCATTCCAAACCAATAGGTAACATGATTACGTGTCTCTGTGATTCTGTTAATTATTGAATGGCACTGAATGCTAAGAAGAAAAGTGAATAAACTTTGTGGGAAGTATCCACATTTTTGTTTCGTAAAACTAATTGACGCATAGTCCAATAAAACAACCCTTCTAAAGGAATTACTTACGAAACTTTTAGAATATAAATGTTACTTCCGCTTTTTCGTGAAAAATGGATGGTACTGCTCCTATTTTCTCGGCAGCTTCAGTACTACAAATCTTTAATTAATACATGTATTTATATTGGCTTACGACTTGTATCATATTGATATAATAAGTATGTGCGTATTACTGATGCGTGCTAATAAACATGTCATCATTATCGTCCCATTTAAGAGCCAGGTTCTTGTCGGTGTAGCCTCTTCCTCGACTTCTTTATAGCTGCTCACTTTGACCTTCTTCTTTATTTGTTCACTATACGCCACTATTGGTCTAACTCTTTTTTCCTTCTATTTTCTATATAAATATATCATAAAATCATATAATAATATCATCGTAGCTGATTTCAGCTACAGCGACTGTTATTGCTTTCATATGCCCTTAGAAGGCTACAGTAAACAGTAAAAGTTCGCAAACAGTGGCGACACGTATGAACACTATCGACAAAGTAAGAATAGATGGCTGCAGGTGTTTTAGCCTTGAGAGCGTCTCGTTTCGCGTTCAGATGTGACAGATATCAAAAAAATAAGTACTCTATTTCCATCTTATCTGCTCATACACGCACAAACCTTACTTTTTGTTGATTTGTTCTCTTATGTCACGATAATATCTTTGTATTTGGAACTCGTTTGCATCATTGTACAGTCATAAACACAAGATACCTACCCCCAAGCAGACTTTGCCGACCCTTTGATTCTGAGCACAAAAATTAAACAAACTTAATCTTTAGCCTGTGTGCCGTAAAATTTAGTTTGGTATGTCTCCCTGGTCGTCTCAATAGTGAATGACATTTTAAGAAAGTTTTTAAGCTAATTTGATCTTTAACGTATGGTTTTTACTTAAATACAGAACACAAATTTCAACCAGTTTTAGTAAGGTCGTCGTGGCCAAGTGGTATAAGGATTGCTTTGCAAATTGAGGCAACCATCGTTCGAGTCAAGCATGGTCGAGTCACTACAAAATAAAATATTATTTAGCTATGACTATAATATTGTATTTATTAATACAATTTAATTCAAATTAAAATTTATTAATTTAATATTGTATTTTTTTTAACATCTGGTTAGGTGTAAGGAATGTCTAAATCTTGTTCATACAGAAC